GCAGCCATCCTAGAGACAGTCCTTTTCAGGCAGGGGTCTGCAGGCCCGGCACTCGGGAGGCAGAGGCAGTAGGATCCCTTGAGTTGGAGGCCAGCCTGGTCTGCAGAGCGAGTGCCAGGACAGAGACAAACCCTGTCTCAAAACAAAACTACTTCTACTATTTCTAATCAACCAGAATATATTTATATTCTCTCTGTGTCGCCCTGGCTGTCCTGGAACTCACTCTGCAGACCAGGCTGGCTTTTGCCTCCCAAGTGCTGGGATTAAAGGCGTGCACCTCCATCACGCTTGGATTTTCAGAGTTTATATTTTCTTTTTATTTTTTTTAAAGATTTTATTTATGTATTATGTATACAGCATTCTGCTTCCATGTCTATCTGCACACCAGAAGAGGGCACCAGATCTCATAACGGATGGCTGTGAGCCACCATGTGGTTGCTGGGAATTGAACTCAGGACCTCTGGAAGAGCAGCCTGTGCTCTTAACCTCTGAGCCATCTCTCCAGGCCCAGAGTTTATATTTTTAATTTTTGTTTTATTTGAGTTTCGCCAGACAGGGTCTTCTTGCTATGCAGCCCAGGCTAGCCTGGAACTCAAGAGCCTCCTGCCTCAATTTCCCCAGTGCTGGGATCACAGGCATGTTACCTCACCGTGCCCAGGCAGAGCAATTTGTGCACGGGACTCATGTAGAAGAGAACTCTGAGTCGACAAGATGGAGGGCTCACTAAGTTCCTCAGCTCCCTACAGAGGACCTACTCTGTGCCCCCGGACACTATTCCAGGGGCAGCGGTCACAACAGGAAACGAAGCCAGGGTCCCACCCTCACCACCATTCAGACAGAGGACGCGTTTGTTATCTAATCTTTCCCATCGGACGGAGATAAGGCAGAAAAATTGTTGGGAGGAACAGGGGCACAAGCGAGAGAAAAGGAGAGAAAAGCTTGGTGTGTGAGGGGGTCTCACTGAAGCCGTGAAAGAGTCTAGTGATGCCTGGGGAAACAGAGACAAGGTGAGAGACAGAGGGAAGAGTCAGTCAGTGCAAAGCCCTGAG